TTAGATGTTTATTAAAATTAAAATTGTTATTTTGTTTTTGTATATTGTTATCATAGTTTGTTAAAATAATAACATTGATAACATGTGCCAAATCAGGAGAAGTAATAATTATGGAGGGGATTATAAATTATAACCGTCCATTGGAGATGGTCACAAAAAATTGTGACCGGTTTGTAACCAAAGTGATCGGTTTGGTAAAACGAATTTCTTTTTTTATCACCGATTCCAATTTTAAGGGGAAATAGTCACCGATTACAAGTAACGAATTTCTGGTAAGAGTTACTTTTAATTTCTAGAATAAAATAACTTTTATATATATTTTAATAACATTTAATAACCTTTTTTATAATTTAACTCATTTTATACCATTGTTACTTATTATATACTTATTCCATTTTTGAAATCATTATTATTTATTGTGTACAGGATATAAGATCAGCTCTTGAAACTCCATCTTACAAACGACAATCTAGACAAACTTTTGCTAAATGTAATAATATTTGGAACAAGCAAAATAGATCCACATTAGTAGCAGATTCTATTAAAACTGCTATCGGAATTTATTTAATTTCACCAAATGAAACAAGGTGGAACTCCGCTTTTGATTCGATAAAATGTATATTGAAATACCTTCAATCAAACACCACAAAGATGAATATTTTATGCAACTCTCTAAAGATTGTACAATTTTCGAAAACTGACATCCTGTTCCTTGATGAATTTGTCAAAACAATGTCACTCATTTCCATAGCCCTGGATATATTACAAGTAAGTAAAGTTTAAATTTAATTTTATTCAATTAATATTACAATGGTTTTTATTATAGGGAGAGAAGCATATTTATTTGGGATACTTTCTACCAACTATTATTCAACTTCAAACAAAATATAAAGGTTTGTTGAAATACAGAATGGATTATTGTAAACCACTAATATTTTCAATAATTGAAGGTATAGATAAACGATTCCATACTCAGTTGAAAGATCCTTTTTTTATAATTTCATCTGTATCGCATCCATTCTTTAACAGTTTGGATCCATAATCAAGATCACAAGAGTGAAGCTTTAACATTATTTAAAGAAGCTGCCATTAATTTAAACTCTCTACCTATATCAAATAATTCTCAAAGATCTTCGAGTAACCAACATGTTGTTGATGACGAACCATCTTTCTTTCATTGGAACTCATCCCAAGAATCTTCAGAAATTACTTCAGTAGAAAATGAAATTAATATGTTTTTCAGTAAAAGTCCAAAAAAAGATTTATCATGTTTTAAAAATTTACCAATTTTAAAAAAAGTTTTCATACAGTTTAATACACCATTGCCCAGCAGCGCACCTATAGGAGGGTTTTTAGTGTAGGTGGAGCTGTCTTAACAAAAAAAAGAGGTAGGATAACTGATAAAAACTTTGAAAAAGTTATGCTACTAAAGTAAATGCAATAAATTATTTATTATAGATTGAAAAATCAAAATATGATTAAATGTATAATTTTACATGTAACTACTGTAAGTCTAATAAAAAATAATTTTTAAAAAAAATTGCAATTTTTCTTATAATAATAACAATAGCTACTTTATCATATTTATAAAATTACTAATGAGTAATTAATGTATATTGTATACTGTATATTTTATAAGACTTTATTTATAATACATTACATTGTTGTCAAACTGTCAAAGTATTATAGTATTTGATGGACTTACCAAAGACAAAAAGACAAAAAAATGCTGAATTGTTCTTCTTCTAATTAATTTAAGTAAAACTAGAGTACTAAAAAAAAAATTTATTTAGTTGACTAATAATTCAATTTATCTATAAGGTATCTAAAAGTGAAATATTGTTAAAAAAAAAAAAAATTTGAAAGTATTTAAAAGTATTTGTATTTGTACTTAAATACTTTTTTTTCGAGTATTCAAATACGTATTTTAAATACTTTTGAAAAAAAGTATCTGTATCTGTACTTTAATACTTTTTAAAAGTATCTTTTACAAGACTGCCTAAATGTGGTCTATAATATATATTAGGGTTTAACGGTGTTACCTTAACATACACTCCCTACACTCTCGTCATCCGATTCGCTGGGCCGACCGCCGGTTACGTAGTAGCCCTACGGTGCCAAAACAATAACCAATGAACCAACATAATAATAATAATTATTATTATTATTCTATAAATTTAACAATTTTTTTTTTTAATATTTGAATATGATCAGATAAAGAGTTGGATTTAAAAGAATTAGAGTTTCCAATGGATAAAAGATATTTTAAAAAATAACAGTTAAAATTAAAAAAAATTAAATAAAAATATTGTATCGGTTTACATTGTTTTTTTTCTTTTTTTTGCAATTTAGTAACCACTGTATGATTACAACATTACACGTTTTCTTAAAAAAACTATAAAGAAATAAAATATAATTTTGTTCGACCATAACTTATGGTTAGGTTAAAAAAAATATATATATATTCTAAATATTCTTTTACTATAATATTCAAACTTTTAATATTTATTTAATTATAAGAGTATTCAACTGTCAATTCGTTTTCAAATCCAGGTTTTATCAATACGAGCAGTGACGATTTTGACAGTAGTGACGAATCAGAAAAATGTGAGATTGAAAGTAATTCTACAATTAATGAAGTAATATCAGCTCCTAATCCTACTTATAACTCGATTGATAAAGTAATATCTGGACCAGGAGATCTTTCTCAGACATTGGAAAATGGATCAAATCAACCTAAATTGGTATGTTTTCCCAAAACAAAGTATGGTAATCGGATGAGACATTTTTTTCTAAGTTGGTATAAAATATATAATTGGATTGAGTATAGTATCATCAACGACTCCATTTTCTGTTTTCCGTGTCGATTTATTTTAAAGAATAATAGAGAAAAATCCATTTTTGTGAATGAAGGTTACAATAACTGGAAAAATGCATTGGGTAGTAATAGTGGTTTAAAAAAACACCATATGAGTAATGATCATAAAACTTCCCATGCAATGTGGACATCTTATTTAGATATGAAAAAAGCAGGTAATGTTTCTGTGGCCTCTCTAGTAAATGATGGACATCTGAAGCTAGTAAAAGACAACCGTAACTTCATTAAGTCAATAGGAAGGGTTTTGTTGTATACAGCAGTACAAGGCATAGCTCAAAGAGGTGACAATGAAGGAGAAAGCAGCCTCAATCGTGGAAATTTTGTAGAACTTTTGAACCTTATTTTACCAATCTATTAAGTGTTAAACACTACACACTTTGAAAAAAAAAAACCGCGTAACTAAAAAATTAAGTTTTTTAAGTGTTTGATCAATAACTTCAAAACTAAGTTCGTCCGGGCTTTTTTTACATTCTTATAAAGCACACTAAAACACACATTTTGGAAAAAAAAATTTTTAAAAATCGATAGTCTGCTAAAATAGAATTATGCCGCCATGTTTAATTTCTAATGGTAATATATTATTGAACATTTTTGAACCAATATATAAGTATGTGGATTGTGTTAATTTTGTGTGCATTGTAGGTACTTTGATATTAGATATTTGTCTAGTCGTATTATAACTTATGAGTTGTAACCTTTCTGGTGGTTTTATACATTGCCTCCATCCATTCGGGCAATAGCTGGAGTTATTTTAATTAAAATTTCGTTGAACATATCCTGATCCATTCTCAAATAGTTCATGTATGATTTTTCATCTTCTATTCTACAAAGTACAAAATAAGTTTTTTAATTTATATATTATATTTAAACAATATAGGTAAGTATCTATTAAAATATGGATTTATTAACTTACAATAATTCATTTTGTAGCATACTAAAAGAACCTAGACCTTTTTCTCGACGAGAAATCCATTCTTTCACCCACACATTTCTATTTTTTGGTGCTTTTAATAACTTGTGTATAATGTTATGCCCAATAACACTAGCAGCAATAGCTAACAATGTTTCTCGAGAATCCATACTAAAAACCAATCAAAATACCTATTTGTTTGTTTACCTATATATAAATCAAGTCTATAAAATAAAATGTAAAGAGTAGTTGTAGAATATAATAAATAATAATATATTAATTTACAGAAATACAGAATACAGATATTTTCGTATATTCATTATCATTTTATTTATCATTAATTTTGCAGCTAGTACATAGCACATTATGGTATGAATAGAATTTAGTACACTGAAAAAAAACCATTGGTAATATTGACAATATTGTCTTATTAAACTTTAACAATGTTTATATTGGTCATCGAGATAATATTTTGTCATTATAACAATAGTTTCGATGAATTAAAAATTGTATTATCTATATCAATATACATATTGTCAATAAATGAATCAAAGAATAACAAAATTGATAATATATTATTAAAACAACAATACGTATATTATCGATCTTTTTATGTACGTAGTGGGTACTCTAACCATTTAATATCTATTTATAACACCGGGGTTACCGAAAATGAACGGTATATTATCGTCGTGATAATACTGTTATCATTTTTTATAAGTATATTGTTAATCTTTTAATATTCGTTATTCTTATTTAATTTGATTCTATAATATTCACATTATGTGCCAAACTGCCGAAATAAGCAAATACCTACGTACTTACTTATTAATATATACGTTATAAATTGAAGGAACTGAAGTGCGTTTATACTGAATTTATTATTTTTAACGGTTTCATAAATACTTAATAATATTTAATATTATAAATTAATTTTTAGTTGTATTGTAATTGTTTAAATGAACCCAGTATCTACTTATAGTTTTTGAATAGCTCATTTGAATAAATTTCAATACTACTGAAGTACGTTTATAGTAAGTCAAATCATAATTAATTATTTTTAACTGTTTCATAAATACATAATAATATTTAATATTATAAATTAAATTTTAGGTGTATTGTAATTGTTTGAATGAACCCAGTACTTATAGTTTTTGAATAGCTCATTTAAAAATTTTCAATATCACTGCAGTACGTTTATAGTAAGTCAAATCATAATTTATTGTTTTTAACGGTTTCATAAATGTGTTCCAAGTTTAATCGGTTTCTTGCTTTTGTTTTCATTGTTACCATTGTTGAAAATCCACTTTCACTCCTGTACCTTGTAGAAAAAGGGATCAGTATTTTCAAGGCTTTTTCTGATAATAATGGATACTCGCCACCAATTTTTCGCCAAAATGTTGCTAGTTGTGTGTTTTCAAAAATTGATAAAGCCTCTTTAATAATTTCCTCATCAGAAAAAGGCTTTTTATTTTTGGCTAAAAGTAAAGATATCTCATATGATGTTTTTACCATAGATTCGAGTTCATCAAATTTTTTTACAAACAAATTCTGCAGACCAAATATTTCTTTTTTTTTTCTTCTTTATAAACTCAGCTCTTAGAGAACTTCCTTCCGGGTAATTTTTATTAATACTTGAATGATTTTGTTTAAAATGAGTAGTAAGTGGGTCCACAGAGGCGAAACGCCACCGCCACACACCACACACAACACACCACCGCCACCGCTACCCACCACCACGGCCACCCGTCGCACCTACCCCCGACCGAACCATTCACCGCTGACACCCTACCCCCCGGCCTACCCCCCTCCGCCGCTGACACCCAGCCACCCGGCAGACCGTTGCTGACACTGCCCACCCCCGACCATACCCTCCACCCGGCCGCCTATACCCCTACCACATTACCCTGTATCATATAAAGCGCTACATCCGCATACGCGATATTCAGTCGCAGTTTTCCTTTCATAGTGACAAGTTGTAACACAGTGTATAAAAATGGCTTCAAGCAGTGAACGGGTATACAAATATATTGCGCCTGCACCACCGGCTGAACTCATCGACTGTACCAACTACACAATCGATTTTGTAAATCGCAAGTTTTTACAACTCGGCATCGATCCTACACAGCAGTTCAATGTTTGTGTACGTATAATTACGTGTATTTTGTGTACGTTGAATTCTATAATTCTCTAATTAATATAGCTCTTAAATACATAAACTTTTCACTACCATCTCATTTAATGCTGGATGAGTTTAAATTGGCTTCAACAGATAAATACAACGGTGACAATGTTCACTCGATAAAGTGTTTGCAACAGGATCAACATGTACGATTAACTAAAGAGAATATTTCAAGGATCTTGCAATTGAATGATGCCGTGGAAGAAGTTATTCAGATGAAAAATATATACACACGACCTAGTGTATTACGTCAGGCCTGTGGTATTTCAAGGTATCTTGGAAAGGAAATGCCGTTACCCAAAGATACAAAAATAAACAATGTTGAAGATTATTTATCCCGTATCGATGTCCAAGAATTGAAAAAACAACCCAAGTTCACTGGTATTTGTTTAATAGCAGATTTGAAAATTAATGCAGTCAAACAATTGGCAATGGGATGGTTATCTTCATCTTCTGCCGAAACTGATGTAATACGATTTTATTTTTACATATTATTTTATACTAAAGAAACAATTTTTTTTTTAGTCTGAAGTAAACAGACCGAGGACGAGGGCATTTGTAGCACGTGAAACCGCAAAAGTAGCCCGCAGATTAATTTTTCGTTAATAATGTAATATTTTATTGTAATATGATATTTTATTACTTATATATAATAAAAAAAACAACGTGATATTTAAAAAAAGTATTTTTATTTCACAAACTATTTACAATTTCCTTACATCGCCATTAAATGGATTATTAGTTATAATTTGGTAGTGTAAGATACATGATATTTTAAAAAAAAAGTATTTTTATTTTACAAGCTATTTACAATTTTCTTACATCACCATTAAATGGATTATAAGTTATAATTTGGTCGTGTAAGATGAGACAATAAGCTGCAGTCTTTTCAGGAATGGCAATATCGGTCTCAAATTCAATACGCAGGTCCACGGTTGACGACTTCACATTGTCGTTTTGATGCGATAGATCGACAACGGCGATTGGTGCATGGTTTTGATAAGTATTTTTTGACAGTAACGGCTCGCAATAGTCTCTTTCGTAGTACGATTTTTGCAAATCTGTGTAAGCTTTATACAGTATCGAAGTTTGTTTGTTTTGGAAGTCTGCTCGGAAATCTTCATACGGATACGCTTCAGAATTTAAGTATACCTTAAGGTTTTTCAATCTACAGTGGTCGAATAGGCCTGCATCATGTGTTATAGTATTTTTTCGATCTGTTTGAAATCCAATTAATACAAATCTAGGTTTTTCGAGTAAATTGCTAGACTTTACCGTCCACGAATGTGTAGTATTTTTAGGTAGCACTGGATATTCACATAAATCCCAAGTTCTGAAAGCACACGATAACGTTTTACGAGAATCCAATATTTTTAACAGTCTTAACTTTTCTTTATCACTAACTTTGATAATAGGCATCTACCATAATATTTTAGTCAGTTCTACTGTAATTTTTTTATTTTTCTCGGAGTTATCAGTAACGTGTAATGTGTCAAAATCTGTCGATGAACGATTCAAAATCAATTGTTGATTACAATTAAGTAATATTTTTTTTTAATCTTCAAAAAATCCAAATAGATGTTTCAGTGGAACGCAGCCGGTAAACACATTGTTGGTCATGAAATTTTTATTATTATCGTTACTACCCAACGACGACCCCCCAAGCTGCATTATCCAGTGTGTTCAAGTCGTTTGGAGTATATGAACAGTAACCTTTCAAACAAGACGAAATTCCTGGTGATTTAATTTTCTGAACTTCTACGCCGTTTATCTCGTATCGCATTTCGGAGAATAAAAACGCCAATCCATTATTCAAAAAACTAACGTCTCCAACAGCATCTGTAGGTTTATTTATTTTTCCCTCTATGTACAGATAACTCTCACACGGAAAAGTGTAAGAATCCATATTTAAAACACTTATCCTAATTTCATCGTTATTAGAAAAAGACATGTTTGAATATGGAGTGAACGAATGATAATTCTTTTGAGTTATTTTACACTCGTCGACATAGCCGGCTGCTACGTCTAAATAATATGAGTCGTCCATAATTACATTTTCAAGGAACGAAGAAAATTTTAATTATTTTTCGTGAGTTTAGTTTCGGTTTTTTTCGGTTTAGATATTGACTTCTTGACGGCTGGTACAATACTGATAGGTTTTTTGATTGTTAATCTTTTTATATTGATGTTAAATTTGAGCGCCATACCCCCGCGTTATTTGCAAGCGAATCATAATTGGTTCGCCGCGTAGATTTATTGGACAATCGTTCTGATCTTTTAATACGATATTTACTCTAGATATTGAAGTCCTGTTGAGACCATAATAAACTGGATGTCTATACTCTGTTCAAAATAAGATCGTGACCCGGCGGCGACCAGTTTTCGTCGGGCGGCGGTCAGACATATGGCCAGATGCCGTCCCCACTACAGCGACGCGTCGGGCGCAGCCACGGAACAAAGCCACGCCCATGCGCACAACTCGGGCGCCGGGTCACGATCTTATTTTGAACAGAGTAGGTACCTCGACGATTTTATAGCCTGCTGGAACAGTTGGATAGAGTTCGTGTATGATCTGGCTCGGTGCTCCGTCACAAAATGAGCCAGTAATCAAGTTGCACTCGACTTTTATACTATTTATTTTAATTATCTTGACTGTACTTTCAGATTCGTGATTAATACAAGCAGTGTATTTCTAAAACCCAACAATTTCGCTATGCTATTCTTGACGCCCAAGTTCACATCGTGACTACACGAGAGCGTGCACTTTAATGAGGTATTGTTTGCTTTTAATTCAAACCAATCGACATATTCCGGCATATTTTTTTGTATAACAGACTCTAAATTATCAAACTCATACGAGCCTGTAGGTATAATAACGTCCTCATTTTGACCGAACATATTTTGGAAACCGATAGTATTGCAACCGGGTTCGATGTTTGGTATAGAATTATTTGTCTGTAAGCTCAAAAGACATATTTGGGCTGTGTTTTCCACTTCTAGCGGCGGAAAAATATCGCATGACAATTCACTCGAGTTCCCGTTTAACGTCAACGTGTACATGATAAAAATTTTAAACACAAGTGTTTGCGCCGCCGCCGATGCTCGCGCGATTTAGATGGTCGGTCGTGGGGCTTCGCAGGCCGACGACACATCGGCCGAACGACCACACACACACACACACACAACACAGACACGCAGTGTCATATTCTTTATTTTTGTATTTGTATTATCTGTTACGTAATAATTTAATATAATATGTAGATTACGTAAGCACCATAATCTGCATAGCCGCCGTAGTTTTTCTGTCTTTCTCCGTCCGTCGTCGTGAGCAAACACCGCCGCGGATATTATTTTTTGTAAAAGGCACGAATTGTCAAAATTTATTATATATTGTGCGGGCGCGAATCGCCACATTTGTATTTATTGTAAGGCGCAAATCGCCAAACATTATTATTGTGCGTGGCGCTAATCGCCATTTATATTATTACTATAGAATTGGATGTGCATTGTTATTATGATACTATAGGATAGGTAGCAGCTGGCCAGCCGAGCACCGTCATATCCGTGAGTTTTACTTTATCATTTGTATATTTTTTTTGTATTTACAATTATTTGGTTAGGCCAAAAGGGCCGTATATTATTATATATATTTTGATTGGTCATAAGGACCAATCGTACGTATATTATTGTTATCTATATTTTTATATTTTGGTGTAGCTGTCCTTTTTTTTATATTATTGTAAATTTGTTATTGAGATTGTGTATTATACAGCAAACAATCATCCACCAGCAACCTTGTTATCCATTATTAAATAGAGTTACCTTTTCGTCATTATTTTATAAGCATACACACCCACCCATATACACACCTTACATATTACCACACCACATAGCTCGCTAGTATTTGCGAGGCGAACCCAACCAATTCTAGCTGAGCTATAACTCATATACACACAAATATACAGGTCGGTCGGTGTGTGGCATTGGTACAGCGCACGAAGCATTTTAGCGACCGGGCACACGGCCTATAATTGTTGTCGTTCCCGGCGCAAACAACAAGTGCCCGCAGTTTGTACCTAGTATTATAATTCTGATCTCTGTTGTAATTGAAATTAATGTCACAACCGCTAAAATATTTTTGTACTTCCAATGGAAGTTGTAAATTTCCAAAACTGTAGTAATAATCGACTTGTTTTCCGATTTTTTTATACGCTACCCAGTGAGTGCCTGTACCGCTTTCCGAGTCCAAGTTAACAATCGCTGATTCTATTAGTTTGGGGCGTGCAGATAACCTGTCTCTAGTAAACACGCCGATGAAATGAGGTATTTTCAT